GTGATTCGAGCGGTCCGTCCTCTACCATTCAGCGTGCGTTTTTCCTTAATTTTTTAAATTAATATCTCGACTATTATTGCGAATATCGCTAAACGGTATAGGACTTTTATGTTCACATCAACCCACTCTACGTCCCCACAAAATGCCCGGAGGAGAATGTGAGACACCCTGTATATACAGAATGACCCACGTAAAGTGTTACAAGTTAATAACTCTAAACATATTTGTCCTATCAAAAAGTTGTCTATGAGAATGTTTCATATATTCGTGGGGCCTTTCTAACTACGTAAGCAAAAATCCACTTCTTTCCCCCCTTAAAGACAGGCAGGGGGTAACTTCAAAGTTTCAAATGAAACCCCCTAAACAATGTTATATATTTGGATTCTATAGGAAAAACAAGTAAGCTTTGTCTGAAACATTTCTTTGGAAAATGCTCCTATCAAAAGTTATAAACATTTAAACTTTTATTTATGATGAACTCCATTGACACAAAGTTATGTTCGCGATACAAAACGACCTTAGAGTACATACTTGATGTTAACCAAACGTAATAATAAGTTTTCAACAAGATGGTGCATCTTTTCATTTTTCCAGGAAAACGCATATCCTTTTAAATAAGATATCTGCTGACAAGTGGATAAGTGGTATTAGGGGTCCCATTTGAAACTTTGAAGTACCCCCCTCTTCAAGGGGGGACAGACGTTATTTACATTTTTTGTTTACGTAGTTAGTAAGATCCCTCGAATATATGAAACATTCTCATGAACAACTTTTTGATAGGACAAATATGTTTAGAGTTATTACATTATCACTTTACATGGGTTACCCTATACATATTTTAAAAATATCACTAGAGTTACTTGGAAATATTTCAGCGTAAAATTCTACAACACACGAAAGAGATTAAATTATTAGAAAGTTACAAGTTGTATGTAAAATCTCTTTTTTATTTCTGTCATAAAACTGCTCCGTTACAAAGTTAACCTTTGAATCAAATTCAAGTCTAAAATAGAAACAATGCAATGTAGTAGCGAAACATTACTTTTAACATTTTAATTTTTTTCTTTAATTTTATACTATTTATGTAAGTGTATATATATATGTTAGTGTATATATATATATATATATGTTAGTGTATATATATATGTCAGTGTATATATATATGAAGAATATATGAAGAATGATACACACACATATTTTATGTGCCTTTAATTTCTAATGTAAAGTATAATATTCGATTGATGACTTCTCGAGAGTTCAGAATTTGTGTGGAATATTAACCTTTACCATTTTAGTATTTCTTTCATTATTTTACGATATCATAATTAAGATACATCGTTTCAATATGGATCTGACGAAGCCACGTATTTATTCCATTCCGTAGGATATGTCAAATTGTGAAATGTTTTTGTCCATTGACATCAGAATATGCGGCAATATTACTGAAATGTTTATAGCATCAGATGATTTTTTTCATATGTCGGCAAAATTCATTCTTTGTAAAGATCTTAATATTTCAATATTACATGCGCATCTTAATGACCTTATAATGACGAAATATATCTATCATTTCCGATGCATTTTTTTCAAAAATGTAACGCGGTAACCAAATTTGAACTAAGGATTTGTGCTTAGTGGGCAAAAATACATCGGAAATGACTATTCACATTCGTACAACAAAAGAGTTAAATTTTGTCGTTCGGTGTCATTCATCGGCACAACGTGCATTTCTGCTAAGGAGAAAAAAGGAAAGCGTGATACATGGATACTAGAGCGAGCGAGACACCTATAGAGACAGCGCGGTGTCCCTATTGCTGTCTCGCTCATATTCTCTGCATTCAAGCGTTGAGTGAGTGAGACAGCTATTGAGGACACCACTAACAGCTATCACGTCTGCTGATGTTTTCTCTCTCGATCGGACGACGTGCGAAAAGAATGCAACATCGAAATATCTCCCACCACTTCCCCTACGTGCCTTCTTCGCTTTTCTCGCGTTGACGTACAGTACGCCCTCCGTATACGCCTGTTGTCGCTTTCGACTATTTGACAGGCGTATACGGACCCGCCGAGGGACACCATACCTGCCTCTGAGTGTACACAATCGTTTCACGCGACTGCAGTCGCCTCTGTCGGATATCTGAAACCGGGCGATCATAGACAAAAGACAAATTGCTCGATTATGTTTTGTTTATGTTACGAATTACTAGATATAAATGTAAAATGAACTTCTTCAAAAATTAATTGTTTATATACATGATGTCAAATTAATGTGACTAATGCGATATTATTTTATTCTTGAAACGCGAATTATAGATTATATATAATTAATTATAATTTCTTTTTCAGATATATCATTAATGGTGAAGTTGATAATTTGAGATATCTTTCATTTTTTTCAGATTCTAAAAATATCTGCTGCATATTTTAATATACTTCGAAGTATATCAGTCTAACCAGTTAAATGCGCTTCTGTAATCGAGAGTATAATGGAATGTGAAAGACGTACGGGAAATGAAAGGTGGAAATATTATATTAATCAATTATCTAGTCATCAAAACGTATGTAACATTTGAAAATTGCCAGCCAAAATGAACTTCTCACGAAATAAGCAAAAAATTCAATCAGTTTAAAAATAATATCTGTAGCTGATTGTTAAATTTAATACCGGATTAATATTTCTAGAGAATTCATATTTGTAGAGAATATTACCAGAGTTACTTGGTATATAATATTTCAGCTTAAATCTCTACTATATATGGAAGAAATTAAATTACTTGAAAGTTACTTTAGATGTATAAGCACTGTTTCAGTCTTTTACTCCTGTTGTAGAACTTCTTCTCTGCTGGAAAGTTAACCCTTGAATGACAGTTGAAATTTAAAATAGGAACAATATAATGTAGTAATTGAAACATTACTTATAAATCACTTGATATTTTTAAAATTTTTATTCTTTTCCTTAATTGTGTACCACTTATGTCAGTGTATACATATGAAGAATGTGACGTGGTGGCGTTTGAGCTCCGTTACAAGGATCACGGTTACGGGGAGAGCGGCTGAACGCGCTTCCCCCTCCCCTTCTCCTAAGAGCTGACAACGAAATAGAAGAACCGCGTGAAGAGACGAACCGCGGAGATACATAATAAATAGGCCAAGGCTGTACGGGAGAGCTCTCTTCTTCGCGAGCATTCGGCCGAAGTAATTAACCTTCTCTAAGCGAAGTCCGATAGCGAAAATACTGATACCACTCCTGGATCAAATCAGGGTGCCTCCGCATAGTCAGCGGACGTCAGGCGGGTTACGCCGAACCGCCGCGAGCCGTACGATTCGCTGTCGCGGGTGAGTGCTGCAGCGGGAGCACGAGAATTACGCCAACAAGGGCGACTGCCCGAAGATGGAGAGGACCGTGGCAGGTCAGGAGAGCGATGGCGCGAGGACGAGACCCGCGGCTTGGCAGACCTTCTCCGAGGCAATCAAAGGTCCACCGAGATCGTAAGAAGCTCTGTGTTCTTAGCGCGTAAGCCGGTGCACCGCGGCGAGACGGGGAGAGACTATTCGCGAGTAACGCGAATAACGATGGACGCGCCGTTCAAGTCATCGTTGCGTATTGAGCGGTAATCTTGTAAGTATTTCGAGTCGCGTATATTGTGTGTTTGTCGTGTATCTCGTGGCGTTTATTTTGCGGTTAGCGTATTTGTGATACCGGTCGACTAAATCGTTGTACATATCGGAAACGTGTTATCTTACAATCGCCTACCATCCAAGATCCTAGCCTCCGCGGAGGAACGCTCTTGACGAGCTAGTCGCGCCCATACTGGGCGGTTTATCGCCGATCGTACGGCGGTCTCTGGGAGTACGACTCCCAGGTGGTGCGGCCATTTCCGCATCTGGCGTACAATCATAATTCCAAAAGAACTCGAGATAGTCGTGGAATTCCTCCCGGGCGGAATTTGGAGGTGAACGTCGAGTCACGAGAGAAAGCGCGCGGCCGACCTGGGGAGCTATACGTGTACCACGTCGCAAGAACTACACACACATATTTTACATACCTTTAACTTTTAATGTGAATTTTAATTTTCAATTGATGACTTCTCGAGAGACCAGAATTTTTATAGAATATCAACGTTTATTATTTTACTATTTCTTTCACTACTTTACGATTTTATGATTAAAATTACGCGGTTTCAATGGATATAGAAGCTAAGTCCGATGGAGTTACTTTCTGATGTCGTGAGAGCTAGCGGATAAAAATACTTTCTAGACGCAAGCAAAATCGACCTCACAAAAGCAAGTTGCTTTACAAACTTTATTACGTATAACTTCTCCGACTCACGCAACATTAGAGATTTGATGCGCGCAAGCGCATTTTCTAATGGCAAGTTTATCTTATCGCGGACTTTTACTTCAACGATCAGTCCTGATTTGACTCGCGGCTTACCTATTTCGCAGCTAGTACAACATTCTCCGGTGCAATCAAACGTTAGAATAAAGTAACTTTTGCATAGCAGAGTCGCAAAGCGATCTTCAGAATGTGCGAGGTGCCACACAATAATCATTACCAGAATGACATTAAGATTAGTTTGCAACTAACTCGCAATATTTTATCCTTAATCGGTGTTTGGCCAAATTTCCGTGGACAAAAGTCCGCTTGCGAGAAAATTAGCAAGTTCCTGCGAATTTCTGTCTCATATACTCTCCTTTATTTCGCCCTGGTACCCGGTGCGCTTTATTGGATATTTGAAAAGAGAACTCGCGTTCGACTTCGTTTGACTACAATTATGCTCTACGGTTTCATGACTTTAATCAAATATTATAGTTTGATAAATCATGAAGATCAAATCAGACGTTGTGTAAAGTTCCTCGAAGAGGATTGGAAGAAGGTTGACAACTCGGGCGCACGGAACGCGATGTTAGAATTTGCTAGGATCGGAAAACGTTTGGCTATGATTAGCGCGGTCTTTTTATACAGCAGTGGACTTGCGTTTCGAACATTGATACCTTTGTCGAAAGGGAAAATCGTAACCCCACAAAACGTTACCATCAGACCTTTACCCTATCCGACTTATTTCTTTTCATTCGATGTACAATCCAGTCCGATCTACGAGATAGTGTTTGCGATGCACTTTTTATGTGGAGTAGTCACTATTTCGATCGCGACTAGTATATATGGTCTCATCATCGTCTTCGTAATGCATGCTTGCGGCCAGTTAGAAATTTTAGTAAATTTACTAAAAAATCTCGTTAAAAAGGAACAACAAGACGGATTAGAGGTGAATAAGAAACTAGGTGTTATTGTAGAGCATCAAATACGAATACGCAGGTGTGTTCATGATTATTAGATCATGTTTTACTTGTTTATTTTTACGTAAAACTATCACGACAATATCACATTATCGATAAATTCCTTTTAGCTTTCTGCAGCTGGTGGAGCGTACTCTTCATTATATAATGTTTATAGAGATAATAGGGATTACAATAATAATTTGTATTGTGTCTTATTGCATATTAATGGTGTGTAATTTTATTCATTTTAATATCGGTAGCACTAAAGTATTACAATACAAGTATTACAAAGTAAATCACAATAAATAGTCAACAAAAATTTATCGGCGAATTCATTACAGTAGTTGTTACACGTAATATAGAAATGTTACATGAATTTTTTTATAGGAATGGGAAAATAGTAATTCAATAGCAATGACCTCTTATTTTATTTCATTTTTTGCTGCGGTAATAAATGCGTTCCTATTCTGTTATACGGGCGAGCAGCTTATTACGCAGGTATATTTTCATATAATGAGATTGTAAGTTTGTCTCTTCGGTCACGCATATGCAATTGTAGTCATGCGTGCAGCATAAATGTGTGCACTCGATATATATCTTAATGCGTTTAGTACTACTCATTTAAGACCACCTGTTCACGAAAGCTTAGGAATTATAACTTTCTATTTAAAACGATAGACGGAGAAGGTAGCCATCACATCTTGCGAACTCGAGTGGTATCGTCTTCCGGATAAGAAGGCACGTGGAATCGTTTTAGTGATGATTATGTCTAATATGCCGATGAAATTTACTGCTGGTAAAATCTTCGTCCTATCATTGAAGACATTTGGTGATGTAAGAAAACAAATTAGAGTATAATTAGTATAATTTATTGGGACCCAATGGCAATTATCGCTATGTGATGAACTGAAAAAATGTTTGTTTATACTTCTTAGAACTATTATATATTTATATTATCTCTTTTTTATATATATTTATATTGTTCTATATTGTCTATATTTGTGATTTGAAGCTAATTTGACTAATAATACACTATTTCATTGCGTTTGAAGCTCATATGAAAAATTATGTGAAGGCAATTATAAAATTTCCTGTTTAAATATGAAATTTTATTTGTAAAATATTTCTGTGTTTTTCCAGGTTCTTAAAACAGCTGTGACTTATTTTAATATGCTTCGAACTGTAACGAACTGAATCCGCTTTTGTGACTGAGAATCTAACGAACGGACATAAAGGCAAGATATGCAATAGTAATATCACATTAATCAATCAATATTACATTTCACCAATATCTATGATGTATTTCCACTTTTCTTACCAAAATGATCGTGATAAGCGATTGAAATTCTGTGAATTTTTGGAAAAATGAAATCAAAAATAAAAATGTAAATCTGCCATCTTTTGGAAAAGTGTTTGTAGCCGACTATTAAATTAAATACCAGATTTATTGATACCGAGTAAATTATTAATTACTGTAATGTGAAACTCCACGAGGTAGAAGAGGTATGATTATTTAAAAGTTACTTTGGATATATATAGAACGTCTGTTTCAGTTTTTCCCTTTGTATTAAAATTTCTTGTCTGTTAGAAAGTCAACCCTCGTAGAGTCAACCCTTCAGAGTTCAAGTTTAAAACAGAGGTAGTGCAGTGTAGCAGCTGTTTGAATTTTCTCTCATTCCTGACTTGGAATATTAATGTGTAAAATGCCCGTAAGCGCTGTTAATACTTACGTTTCGCATGCTCGCATCAGTCGATCTCGGTGTTTACTGGCGATCAGTAGCAAGCGAGCTCGCAACTTGCACACACCTGGAGCGTATAGAATATCGTCGGTACTTTTCGATGTGTTATCGAGAATTGTAAATCAGAAACGCATTTTTTAATTAATTTCTTAACTTTGGTAATTATGAACTATAGGGGAGTCAGCTCCAATGACCTTGACCTTCACATATATTGTCAAGATCACTACCCTGAGTAATATTCAAAAGGTTTTAGCCGTCGCTCATTGTTTATTGAAAAGTTATTAACAAAAGAAGTTTTATTAATATTCGTTCTACGTACATTAAGTATAGTGTGTAAACGGTAAGCGTGATTCTTTCTAAACGAATTCTCATCCTGATGTGAGTGTTGTAACTCATATAAATAGGAATACTTGTATGTAAACATTGGTCTTCAATATCCCTCAGTCGTCGTTGAGAAGTGATAGCGTTTCGTATCTTGTATCTTTCATGAAATATATTTTATCACGAATTTCTGCACTTAACACATAATTTTGTGGAACTGATTGATTATTTAACTGAAAAAAAAGTAATTCGAAAACAACTAAAGTGTAGACAGTGTAATGTTGTGTAACTGTGCAGCTCAATGTAGAAAATTCTAAACTTCTTATTTTTCATTGTACGCAAATGTATTATAAGCATATACGTGGCAGGAAACAAAAACGACAAACCTGTAATTTTAAAGTTAGTGCCTTAAGAGGAACATGGTTTGTACGTGCTAACATCAATCTGGTAAAAATATGTCGTTTAATTTGTTACTTTATGTTATTGAATTCGCCACGTCAATTATTCATACAAGCGGAACTATCCATTTGCGCTAATACAGCTGTTGACTGGACAAACTTTTGTCGTGAGGTAAGTTTCACAATCGTTAATAAACATTAACAATATATGGACGCTATACACTCACAC